AGTTGGCCTGCGCGGTATCTGGTGGGTGCAGCGACGTTTTGGATCCAAGCACTCTGTTGAACGACTTCTAACAGCGCCGCTGCAAAAGGTCCGCCTGATTCGACGCGCTGGAGCTCAATCCAGGAGGCCTTTGGAGCGTTGAAGTCACCTACCAAGAGGAGATGAGTGAAATGGTAGTTGGAGGAGAGTTGCTCAAGGGATTGTGTGAGGAATTTGTCATCTTCAGGGGGACCCGAAAGGTTACGGTAGACCACGCCGAGAAGGAGAGAATCGGACCCGCGCAGTGGGATTTGGACCCACAGTGCATCGCAAAAGGCGCAGGGGTGGTGTCAGAGAGGACAATCGGGATTGATAGGGTCGAATGTAAGTACAGAGCAACCCGACCAGCCCTCCCTCGTTTTGAGTCAGCTCGAGAAATAGAGTAACCGTCTATCGAGATCTATGCGTCAGAGACATCTGGTGTGAGCCAGGTCTCTGTGAGTGCGATTATGGACGGCTGCTCAAGGCAAGCTGACTGTTTAACATCGCCGAGTTTGTTGAAAAGGCTGAGGCAGTTTGTGTACAAGCATTTCAACACTGCCTCTGCTGCCTCCGAGGGTGAGGAGCCGAAAGTTGAGTGACCAGGGTGGTTAGCAGACTTAATAATTGTGCACCAGGTTTGAGTCTGAGTCCAAGGCTCCAAGGGGGCCTCTGGGGCGATGTTGTCTTCTTCCGGCCTTTGTGGTTTCTGGAGGTGCTTTTCGCCTGCGGGGTTTTTTCGTTCGGTGAGAGCTCGGTTTGCTCGGGCTTTTTGGCTTTGGGGGACGGAGTTTTTTCCCGATGGGCGAAAATTTCGACCGATGCTCTTTGTAGCTCTTTCAGCATCCCTTTTTCGTCGACCAGATTTGTTGTTGATCAGAGGTTTGCTGCAAGCGTATTTTGTGAAGCTCCATGTTAAAGCAATTTGAGACAAGAGTTTTCTGCCTGAGTTGGTATATTCAAACTCCTAATTCATTTCGAGTGTGTCGTAAAACCCAACAAGACCAAATACATGACTTGGTGTGAGATATTGTAGGTCAAGGCCGTGGGCGCATTATTTGAGGGGTTTATATGTTTGCATATGATGAATGAGCTGAGTCAGCTGTGGCCGGCACCCGAAACGATTCCCACACGTAGCAAGGTGCAGCTGGAATATTTATCAAAAAATGTTTCGAATGGAACTTATGACAACGCCTCACGTCGTGTATCTGACGATTTTTTGTTCCTGGAAACGACAGGAGCACAAGTTTTTGCAGGTCTCATAGCATTCTCTGCTATTTTGGTGACATGCCATCAAGTAAGCGTGCTAGCATTAAAATTTTCAAGTTTCTTTCATTGAGATGACTTCTTATTACTTGTTTCTGGCGGTAGTTTTGCATAAAAGGCTGTATTCTGCAGAGTCCGAGTGCGTAACATTTTCTGCGACAAAATTTTTCTAAAATCTGGACCCGTATACCAATTTGATTAGTGAAAGACCTATCGAACGTGAAGCAATTTTGTGCCTGTCAGAGGGTTCCACTGTCATTTGCTTGGCTTGACCCAGTAAGTACGCCACTGCCGGAACCACTGGTCCCCAAGCGTGGTAAATAGGGGTGGCTAGTTACGCTTGCCACTGGCGCGCCACAAGCGGTTATGGCCTTCCAAGAATACCACTATTACCACAGCCTTTGATTTTTTACTTTTGTGACCTTTGAGGAGTTCATGAATGGCTTTGTAGGAGTTCAACAACAAATAGGACCTTAATTTGGTTAATACGCACTGCAACAGTTGCATCCTGGCTTTACCTAAGGTGTAACGTTTTTAAAATATAATCCCCGGCGACTTACACAGTCTCTACATGCATGTAATGAGAGTGTTGTTGACACAACTCAGTGATACCCATAGCGTCACTCAGCAAGTATGTATAACCATACAGTTGAAAATGAGGTATTTATCGTGCGTGCACAATTTGTATGGAACGAACCAACAAGAGGTTGTTTACGAGGTTGTGGTAATAGTGTCAACCCAACTAGACTGTTTTTGACCACTCATGGCCACCGGTAACCATGTGTTCACTGAGGACTCCTTCAGTTATTCATGCTCATCGACTACCAGGCCTATTGCTAGTTGATCATTACTAGTTGGCTAAAACAGCCTTCTATCCTTGGTGAAGATGCACGGTGATTACCTTCGGGTGACTCACATCCTCCACGCTCTCTGGCGTTCTTATTTTCGGACCCTCATTCTCGCAAACACTGACATTGTGCTGGTGCGTCCTGAAATTATCGTACCCGACAAGGGCTTTTTATTTTGCTACCTGTACTTTTTTTTGTTTCTTCTCTTACAATGCGGCACATGTTCAAACATAGCCAGCGACATAACAAGCTTCCGTATCCTGAACCTTGTACGGATTGCTAATCCAGATGCACTTGGTTTTTTGTTTAGTATAGTTTTGCAAGTTTCTTTGCCGGGAGTTGTTTTAGACATTTCCGTCGTCTGACCGTATCCAGAACCCACCAGGACAAAACACCGAACGATTTTAACTCAACGACTGTAGTGTCTACCTTGTTGTACTGGTGTGGATGTTTACAGAGACGTATGAGGAAACAATGAAACCAATACGTTGTCAGATACAATGTTAAATAGCGCAGAGCCAGCTATAAACGCATGTAGTCAACGGTGTTTAAATATTAGTCACAGAAGAGATCATATAAATTCATCTGTTGGCTGTGCAGCTACGAATGACTTTTCTCTTGCTTTTATCTACAACAAGAATAAAAAAGGTATTCGTCTCACAGATTCTCACAGGGCAAAGATCGCTTAGCTATTTGCATCACCACTCCTTTTTGACTGAACTGAGACCACCCAAATTACATATAATTTTCTGGCACAATATTACGCTAAAAGTAATTGTGGAATTCAGTCATTCGTTACTATGCCCACTGCCAGCAAACCAAGTGACAACAAATTGCGATCATAACAATGAAGCTAATCTGGGAAGATTTACGAGCTCTCGACCAAAACGCCGTTGTCTGAGCAAACTCGTCTATTTATTGGGTCTCCTCTATCTTCAGGTTAGGCAGTGGATTAAACAATTTAAATCATCGCATCAAGCAAACTGCAATTCTTCTTGAAGTCATTTTGAAAGAGTAATCGGGAGCAAAATGTCAAACAGAAATGTCTTGATGCAAGTCTTTACCATTCTCTTCAACAAGACCAAGCGAAAAATAGAGAGGAATTGCTTTCCGGTCACCCTGAAAGTTTAATAATTCACATAGCCCCATAAAGCTATAATGCAGAAAAACTGGAAAACAGCACTTTGCTTCAGTCCAGCTTAATATCAGTTTAATCTTAAGCACGGCATCTAGTGCCATGTTTTGCACGAAGCCAACAAATTTCCACACGTTTTCTGATTATTCCGAACTCGTTTGTATGCAGCAAAGTACCCAAGTTTTTGTTGGTTCTATATTATCCAACCGTGTTCGCTTACAAAAGTATGCGCTTGATATGTGAAAGCATGATTTGCATCCTTTAAGTCCTTTAGAGTAAAAAAAATTAAAAAGTTCATTGAAAAATAACACCTGTTCTTAGTGTGAAATATGCTTACTTAGAATAAAAATTGTAATACTGAAGTCACAAATGACTTAAAAACTTTCCGTTGTCTCTTCTGAAATAAAAGGCATACTGCGAGAATGCACTACATATGGGACGGCCTTGATTTTGCAGGCAAATCTGTGCGTAGAGTCAGTGGAAGAACCACGGTGGAAAAGAGCTTAAGAGACTCACAGAGCACAATCCATGGAATCTCGAGGTGGTTCTCAAGATGCACGACGCTTTTAGCGATTCACAATAAGAAAATTATCAAGTTTGCAACCAAGTTGTACCATAATCAAGTTTGGCTGTTAAAGCGGACTGCAAAGACTATGAAAAACAAGAACATTTTTGTTGACCATGTTCTGCTCTGTCAAGAAAATTATTAATATTGGATATTAAACCGAATTATTGTTGGCTCTGGCAAGGGAAGTTTTGAAGGCTAACATATCACCGTTAATGTAGAATAAGTCCATTTGCTGCCTTTTATAATGATTAGAAGCTAAACTAGATAGGTATGAATGCATTTCCGGGGGGTTGTCAAACTCAAAATGTTATATTTGTTTGAGTATCCCAAGGCTTCCGCTTAAAGTCTCCAAGATATCAGGATTACTAGAGGCAAAAACCGGCCAACTAATGTTTAAGTCAATTTAGGAGTGCCCGAAATTGCTTTGGCTGCCCTTTAGAGCCCAAATTAGTTCACAGTTAATACAGATGTGGTACCTCTAGGTTAAACGAAATATGAGTGTGTAAACCAGTGAGGGCTAAAACTTCTTAATTGACCTCCACCTTTTGCTGCATAGGTACAATGGCTATTAGGAACGATTCCGCGCGGCTTTATAGGCAGGAGTGTTGAGGCAATGTTGAGCCTAGTATCAACCTTTAGGCCCGCAGTTCTAAACGCGGTGCACTGACGTAAATTTTCTCGTCCAGACTGAACAGTATTCAACTGTACGATATATGGGTAAGTTTAGCTAGATGACGTCGGTACACGCAGAAAGAGAGCGTAAACGTGATTTTACTCTCTATGGGTGTTTTTACTAATGGTACCCCATTCAACAATCATTTGTCCGCACAACAATCACTGCTCACACCAGAAGCCGTTTGAACGACTCGAGAAAGCCATAGTTGTGTCACAACAACTCATTAAATTGTGCACTTATATAGTCGGGGATATTTGGAAAGGTTCAGCAGAAAATATGATCATACGAGCACTGGTCAAACGTTAGTGGCGATCAATAACAATAGTAGCCACATCAAAGGCACACAAATACAAACCAATGTCTAAAGATTCACGCCTATAAATCCCGGGGCCAGTTGGCCTCAAGTTATAGGTCTATCATGCCGATTCTTTAGTGAAAGTGTCAAGGCGATCAAGTTCGTTACTGAAGTCAGCTACCTGAGACTGTTGGGGCTTTGTATATGAAAATGTTGCGGCAAAGCTGACCAATTATTGTGGCAATGGATGCTAGTTGGTGTAATTAGAGAATAAAGAGATGGCATTCGCTTCAAGCTTTGGCTTCGGTAATACCATTTTAGTTGTCAACCACGGAAGTCACAGATGAAAATATTGTGATGCCCTGCCTGCAACCGAGTGGCGTTGTCAGCTGATTGTCTTACTTGCCACACACAGCAGGGAAGGCAAGCGATAACAAGCTACTGCTGATGCCTTACATTTTCTCGTGCTCACTCTTTCACTCAACCCCGCTCTAATTTAAACACTCTCTGAAGTTCACAGCATGAGGACTGACCGCTTTGTTTGCCGTGCATTATGCTCAGATAAAATCTATGTGCGTTCGGCTATACTAGCATCCCTAAATACATCGATGTTGATTCTCGGAGATGGATGATTAGTCTATGTAGTTGCTTTTATTTTTTGCATAGAGAAAAAAGCCGGACAACAATTCTTTGTCGCCATTTACACTAAATTTTCTCTGCTATTTGTCAGAAATAAGAACTGACGACGGAAGTACTGTAATTAAATAAATTATCACCTTTCTTTCTTCTGACTTATGGCTCTGCACCTTTGATAATGCATAAGCCACTGCAGCTAGACATGCCGGGGTGAGTATTGTGTTAAGCCACTAAGAAGGCATCTCTTGTTGATAGTATATCATTTCGTAGTCGTTTCCGCACTGTCCGTCTGGCATCGTTTGTGAAAGAGTCCCAGGAAAGTGAGACTCTGTTTGTTGCACTTGCTTATGTCTTGACGGGCTGTGTGTATACGTCTGTCTAGAACAGCCTTCATGATGCTTCAGGTGTCACGTTGCGCAACTGGCTAAAAGCTCGGATGTTTTTATGGTTGGTGATAAGAATGCTCAGATAATTAGGTGTACAGCTACTGTGGCTGAAGTGGGTGATCAAACAAGAGATCCTGAACCAGTTCCAAATCCAAGTAGACCAACTTGGCATCAATTACCGGCAGGAATAGTCGAGCACTGCTTGCCGCATCTTCTGAAATACCTGCAGTTTTTGCATAAGCATAGCGGGTTTCATCATTGTCATCCATGATATGATGACTGGAGGCGTTACGTGCCACACATCGTAACTTGGATAAGGAGTGAAAAATGAGACGAATTCCGGTAAAAATGTAAAAATGCAACGACGATTCTTTAGAACTCGGATAACGTCGAGTTATATTGCCATATCTGCTAATATGTTCCGGCAATATTATCTTCATTCAGGATCATGATTGTGGAACTTTCTTCGAAATGTGGCTACGAATGC